TTTAAACATGTTTACTGCATGTGTGCATCACATTGATGATGCCTGTCAACTGGAGTCCCTCATGTGCATAAAGTCAGAATATATTATTGTAAGACGCATTTTATTGTTTTTTGAGGGAATTGACCTCGAGCTTTATTTATTTTTCCAAGTATCTGTAATCCATCCAACGAATACTTGGGTTTTTTCTGTTAATGCAAAGTCAATATCTCTATACTTCTTGATGTGTTCCATTGAATCACAAGTTATCAGAATTTTCCCACAAACTAAAGATAAAATGACAGCTACCATGTTATTTAACCGTAAATCATATAATTTAAATATGTAACTTAAATAATTCTTATCCATGCCTGTATAACTTTCGTGTCCTACGTTTGTAGGAATAAATATGTACCTTATTATATTATCATTACTAACTATACTTACCAATGGTATGTGTAACTTATCGAATTGATGATGCCTGTAAACTGGCGTCCCTAATGTACAAAAATGAAAATATACTATTATTATTAAGATATTCATGTCTTTAAACTCTGTCTTATCTTTTAAGCATTATTCCCACACCACTTTGGCTAAAATTTCACCGGTCTGATAACTTTCTACTAATATCAAAACAAGATTTTGAGCGAACAATTGTTTTCGATAACTTCTTCAGGCTCTACAGTTATAAATCCATGAATAATAGGGTACATATAGCCAATAAAGGCAAATGAAAATAATATCAGAAACTGTATTGGGGTGTATGTGTAAGTTGAGGTGATAGTCCATTAGTTAACATAGTCAATCAAATGTGTATAGGGTGTATAGTCAGAAAAATGTGAAGTGTGAATGAACAATTGGGTGATATAGTGTTGTTTTATAGTCATCAGAATACAAGTGTCATTGGGGTGAGAGAAATGCGATAGACACAAAATGCACACAAACACACATTAACAAAGTGGCACTGAGTGTGAGGGCTGACCGATAATGTCTAATGATAAAATAAAGAGGCTGAATAGTAAATTGTAATAAGATGTTACAGAGTTGGTAGGCTTAGTGTAAAATCACAAAGGTTGACAAAATTAAGGGTAACAATGAGGTGAAATAAACTGGGTGAAGAAATGGATAATAAAGACATGATATCACAGAATGATAATAATGGTAATAGTAATACGGAAAATTATGATCCTGGTGACCTTATAGTGGGCCAGGGTAGACAGAGGGAGTGAATAAGTTTTTTCTGTACACATAAGTTTATATTTATTAACCAGTTACTCAGCGTGTGATTTCGGTTTACATCAAACAACATGAAATAGAATGTCCAAATATATATCGAATTCTGTTGTTATTGCAGTATATAACCGTGTGAAACGTATTCTGCCTCTAACATCAAATAGAATATTCATATAGGTATATTATATGCAATATTGAACTGTGGGAATATGTGAACATAATATACCGTTGGCAGAAATAGACTGGATCACACAAGCACAACTTATATTGAATTGAGAGCTACCACTGTACAAAGGGAGAATCCTTCGTTTCTCAACTCTGTGGAGTTGTGGCCTCTCCGAAAATTGATATGTAGAACTAACTTTCTACATGTCCGTTTCACATGTCTGTTTATATTCCTCTTACCTTATATACTGATTTACGGAAATGATTTCCTCTCACCCACTTATGACCTTTGAAATCCTACTGGCTGTTGACTGCTTTGATTTATCAACGTAAATGGTGTCTCTTAGGGCCATTTAAAGCACGCACATACGCTGGCTTATTCAGTCATTTTCACTGTTGATTCAAGACAGTAAAACCTCTCCATGCCAACAGTCAGACTTCTCTTCTCATCTACGTGCGTCGCGTTCTCGGTGGTATCGTACCGTGTTGTTGCTAAATTGTTTTTAACAATAGGCTGGCGAATCGGCTAGGTAGAAAATTCGGTGGCACCATTACCAAGTGTACCAACGGTCACATCGAAATTGGCGTTGGGCACATATAAAAAATGAATAGTCTTTAGGGTGAGTTGAAGTCATTATCCTTATATGCTAATTGGTTTTAAACAAGAAGTAGAACGGTCGTAAACGTTTAGGTCCAAGTTATGCTAAAATCAGAAAAAGACTTGCTAGACTAATTTCAGTTGTACTGCTGATACGCCTTAACCCATTATTCCTGGTAGTTCGATTCACACCAATGAATCGGCCAGCTAAATTGACTTTTCAGTCTTTGGTTATATTCACCACATACTGAATCATGCATCCGATTTAGCCCACCACGTTAGTGGAATTCCACAGAGTGATTTTGAAGGGAGCTCAAAGATGGAATACATGCCAATAGCGTTTACAAAACAGCAGCCACTTTCAGCCACCTTGATTAGTATTTGTATCGAAATTGGTTTAACTTCATTTCTGACCCACCACATCACAACTGACTATTATTTTGAAGTCATGCATGGGAGATACATCAATTTAAATGTGCTAAATTATTATTATTTTTAAGCAGAAAACACTGCTCTCCTAAGTTTCATGGACTCAAAGTCACTCTTGCGTTCACATTACTTCAATCGATATTATTCACTCTTGCCATAATTCGTTGTAAAATGTGGTCAAATTCAAGCCGGTTCATGGAAATAAAGGCATGAATTATTTAAGTTCTTTAATCTTCACTACAAACCACATATAATTAATCCCAAAAAACTGGTTTATACTAGCTCGTAAAAATGATATTGGATATTGGACCATTTAGGTCACGACGCTTTTAAAAAGGAATGCACACTCAAGGTCAGGTAGTGGCTGCATTTGAGTTTTTGATAATTTCTAAAGTCATGTACGTAATGAAACACGGAACGGAAGTTATTCACATTGACAAGAACTTGTAAACATTAAATCGTACCTATAAGCAGAGATGGTTTTGGTATATTAACACGTTTTTACTGAAACTTTCCAAGCTGTGTAAACCTATTTTGGAAATAACAGCAGGTATACAGTACATATAATAAATATATCCTGAAACCCTAATTGTAGCCTGAAAAACTAACTTTCGGACTCTAAGAGTATTTTATTTCGGCAAAGGTAGAATATATACTCTAACTCACGTACGCGAACTTATTCTTGTCAATACTCTCCTTTGAAAGGCTTGGGTGGAACTTACTGGAAATCCACTTTGTTTCATGAATTTGTCTTTTTTTACTTAAGTGGAACTCTCGAATTTAAGAATATCTGCAACTGACTTTCTTAGTCGTTCTTTCGAGGCTTGTGGAGATGCATGTGAAGTCCGAATGCTAGAATATAACCGTTAACCTAGTTTTCCCCCAATTTCAATTGAGTCGCACTTGTAAAATAAAGAATTACTTCTGTTAGCCTTCTCTAATGATCGTCGTTTTTAATAGTTGTAGATGACGACAATTTCCTGTCATGGAATTTTCAGAGTTATTACTGTCTGTATCTGGATTTTCTATACGTAAAGTAGGCTGATTATTTTTTGGGTTTCGTGAGTTCGTGGTGTGTTTTAGTGTACTTTCGGCTTATAAGACAGGAGAAAGCGAACAGAGCACTTTACCCATCGTTTGGACTAAGAAGTGTTAATGTTAAGATCGTGGGTTTTCTAAATCTTGCTGCCTATAAATCATAGAAAGGTTTAGTCATCGTTAATGACTTAATGAGTATTTTAATTACCCGTTTTGTCTTGGAGACTCTTTCCAGTTGGGGACGTTTATATGGTGTTTCAACTGTTTCACAAAACACGTCACATATTATTCTGATGTTCATAAATGTGGCTATATTTAAGTCGCTTACCCTAACAACGTATACTGCATTCTATATTTCGGATGCTTCTTCAAACAGCTCAATGAATTGAGTTGATAAAACCCCTACTAACACTAACAATCAACATATACTTAGTACACTGCTACACTTTGTGTGTCTGTGTAATAACTTTCACTTTGTTTGAAACTGAGTATACTGTAAGCATGGTGATTTTATGACACTAATATTCTCTTACATTAGCCAAGAAGATATCGACAATGATTTGATTTAGCATTTACTTTGGTTAACTTCATATTACTCAAAAACTTAGAATAGATCCACGCAACATAGAATTTGACAAGGTATTTGGTAGGCATAAACATTCCTCAGCTGTTGTTATTATAATGATGACTATGTGGTGTATTAGTTATATCTGTGTTTAAAACTTGAAGAAAAATATGCAGGGAAGTGAATATTCTAATCATTAATGTATATTGAGAAGAAGAAATATAAAATGCTTAGATTCATGCCTTCATCTTCTGAACTGCCCGAAGTAGAGATATATTATAAGGGTAGTGCTTTATATTATATATATATATATATATATATAGGTTGCATGGTTGGGGTCTTTGGTACGCTAGGAAGCAATGGCTGGAGACTTGGTGATATGGATCAAAATCGCTCTCAATGGTGCAGATGCATTCTATATTGGTAATCTCTTGGATCCGTTAAATACTCATATATTTTTCGTTTCACTGTTCTTTCTTCCACACATTTCTGCTCATTGTTTTTCTTTTGAATATCTTTTCTTTCTTTTCTCTACCTTTGTGTGCTGTACAGTGTGGCAACTTCAACTACTGCAATTCTGCGCAAGGTTCTGTGTTAAGACTCAGTCAGTCAGCTATTTTGAGTGCTTTTTTATTCCTCTACGTTCCCAGTGTAACATAGGGCTTCAGGCTAGAGCTTTAAATTGTCGGTAGCAATGGTGTTTATTTTTTACAGAATGGGGTTGCCCAATAGTGCCCAACCTTCCCCTTTACCAGTCTTACTACTGGCTTTGCGAGTAGAGATCGAACTCCCTACCACATGAGTGGTTAGCGAACATTCTACTGCTGTGCCACCGACGCTATTTTGAATGTATGCAGTGTATATTCACTTTCAGTGGTAGCAAATGGTTGTTCAAGGAAGAAGAATACCTGAAGTGTAGCATAGAAATTAAATTATTCACTTACTTAATCTTATGCTTTTGTTGTACTAATTTTGTTTATATTATTTCTACTGCAGGTATTTCAAGCAAGCACTTTGAATATTCTGACTGTTTACAAAAGATATCTGATGCTATTCAGAAATGGGAAACTACACGAAATTCTGTCATCAAATCTTGCAAAAGGTTAGAAGAGAGTCATAAAGAAGACAATCGATTAGCAAATGTACAGCCTTGTTTTTCACTACCAATACTGAATGAACTTATTGAAACACGATTAGACACTTCAAGAAAGTTAGCAATTGGTAAATATCAAGAGAAATCATTCGATGCGATAGATACATTTAATGTTTCGACAAATAATTTGTTATCTATTATAAATGCATTGGTTGAGAACCTTATGAATCATCAATCGGTGTCAAGTAATCAACTTCCTAAAATTATGACTATTCAAAATATCTTGAATTCAATAGACTCCTTTAAAACATTGCTGATTAATGAATATGATGCTATTAGACTGTATCATGTTAAACGTGTTTTTATTCATTCCAATAGTTTCAATGATTTATTGGTCAGTAACAACACTTTGCCTGATAATTCTCCTACCAAACTTGTATGGTGTAATGAATTTATTGTACAGTTGAATACATTACTTGATTTTTTAATATGAGAAACAGTTTGATGTTTTACTTCATCGTGTTGGGAATACAACGGACTAGACAACACTATATAAGACATCACTGTAAAGAGTCACTTTGATTATTAGCCTTTTTGTAACCTGTGTGATCTCTTTTTTGCGGGAAATAAAAAGGTAAAGAGCACTCCATTATTATTGTGGTTTGTTTCTGAAATAAGAAGCTGAGATGTGTATTCAGATATTCTCCTGTAGCAAACAAAGCTAGACTCTATAGATTTAGTGTATTTATTTTATGGTTTCATATTGATTGAATAAGCGTCGGTGGTTCAGTGGTCAGGCACTAGCCGACTATGCACGTGGTCCGGGGTTCGAGTTCCAGCCGGCGCACGCCTTTACCTCCCTTAACCGGTTACAATTGCGACAAAGATGGAAGGTTGGGCGCGTGAGGCTAGCCACCCTACTCCGTAAAAACACCAATACTACCGAAACTTCAAAGCTAAAGCTTGAAATCCTATGTTCCACTGCGAACGCAAAGGAATTAAAAAAATTGATTGAATACATAAAAGTGCATTTAATAGGGTTCCAAGCTGTAAAGACTTGTTTAAGAGTCCTATAAATTCACTGTTAAGTCTGTTCTGTTTATGATATGTCGTTGCAGAAGTCTTTTTAAAGTATACTGTTGAATACATTTCGTTAGCTTGGCTAATGTTCACGCTTCATAGTATATACAATACATCCATATAGTCTGTAAATAAGGTAATTGTGAATCTTTTTAAATGTAATTTACATATTAGTTCATAAAGTAGACGTTTATTTGAACATTTACAGTGCCTATTTCCTCATTTGATACATTCAAATTATAAAATTAATTGAAGTTCAGGAAATCAAATTTTTCATGTTATTGTACATGTAGATTGTTGGAAGTAATTTTCATCAGATTATACGAGAATGTTAATTTCGATAAAATCACTAACTGTAATCATGAAGTAAGCCGGGAATATCTACAGATAAGAGCAAATGAAAAGAAATGCACCGATGGGTATTTTTAAGAAAACTCAGCGAACTATTCTTTAGACGCTACATACCTACTGACTATGGTTAACCAGCGTTTTAAATTACTTTGAGATAGGGGAGTATTTCCAAAAAGTAAATTAACACGTGTGTCTGTAGGTGAAATGAAGAGTGCCCTAATGGCCCAGTTGTAACGTCTCTGATAGGAACAGAGGGTGACACAGTTTCGAGCCTCAGATTGGGACATTAATCTCTTCAAAGTTGCGGATACATCTTGCCGGCGAGTGCCGACAAGCACGAAACTTATGTCTGGGACATCCTGCTAATTGCCCCCCCCCAACCACTTAACATTTTGTGCGTTGGTGACCCAATGGTAGAATGCTCGCCAGCCACCCAAGTGGTTTGGGTGATAAATTTACCAGATGATAACAAGTAAATCACATACCAAGAAAGTTCGAATTCCAAATCAATAAAAATGATCAATAGAGACGTAAATTAACAACCAGTCACGATAGTGGTCGCCAGGAGATACAATTACATCATTCATGGAGAATTTAAATAAGTCCATTTTATACTCAAACCTGCACTGAAGATGATGTCTAGAAACGGGACGAAGAAAGCTTTGCAATTAAATCAACCAGCTCAGAGAACACAACTAATTCAATATCATCCACATGAGCTACAAATCCTCTCCATTATTTAATAGTAACAAAAACAATAAGGCTTTTTAGGACATGACAGATCACAGAAAGTGAATGCATCTGTGCCACTGAGAAAGATTTTGAGCTATACGATCAGCTGTCTCCAGCCATTGATTCTTAGCATCTTTGGTACCCCACCGAAGCAGTCCGCACCTCCCTACGTGGCTCAAACTAATGGTTAAAGATTTCATAGACAGATGCCATGTTTGGGTTTGACCATCACTAGCTCTTCTTCAACCCAATCATGTGGCAGCTAACATTACCAGTCGAAGAAGGCGGTGTAACTTCACAAAGTTATCCATAGATTTTATCTCCTTTCCTAACACTCGATACCTAGCCTCAATATTACTCAGCTCATTATATCACCTAATATGGGAGATAGAACGCAGACACCTATGATCAAAGACATCTAGCCTTTCAATATCTTCCACTTTCAATGGCCATGTCTCACAGCCATAAAGGAGGACAGAGAGAACTGCTGAACATTATACACGTCCTTTGATCGATAGCCAACCGGATGTCACGCCTCCGCTAGAGATGACGTAGGTAAGAGAATGCCACACGAGCCTTTTGTGTCTGTGATGGAATTTCTTCAGCAGTCAGCCCGTTGGGACTGATGCAATTTCCTAAATAAGTGAAGTGGTAAACACGCTTTACCACTTCACTCCTGCCTATCTTTGAGCTAGGTGTCGACGTATTCGAGTCCTGTGGCATCATCTTACCTCTGACATCCGGAGCAAATTGCATGCCAAACATTCGCAGATTTCTGCTCAGCTCAAGGTGTGCAGAGGACTGCAATTTCTCCGCTTCTTCACCTAGAAGGACTGTGTCATCTGCATATTCTAAGCCAACAAGATTATTCCCTGGCAACAAGTCAATCCCTTAGTCGCTGAAGTCAGTTAGGGTTAAGTCAATCAGTATATCTATGATGAAATTAAACAGAAATGGGGACAGTGGGGATCCCTGACTGATACCACTGGTTTTCATCACTTCAGATGAGAACTCTCCGGAGACTCTCACCTGGCTGACTGCATGAGTTCGAGTAGAGTACCTTGATCAATGCGATGCATTTTCTTGACACTCCCCTCATTGTCACACTACCTCTCAGTCGGTCGGTTTTCGACATAGAACTTTGCACATATGTGCGGCAGTTCAAGTCGCCACACTCCCTCCATGTAGCACACAAAGCAAGAGAAGAAAGTAGAAGAACTGCATAATATAGTCAGTAAACAGAGGTGTGAGACAAAGGATTAGTAATAAGGAAGAACAAAACAGTTTCACTGGAAATCATGAGTCACAAGGAGTAGATGCATCTGCGCCAGCCATTGAGAACGATGAGTTTGAGCCATGTCACCAATTGTTTCCAACCATTGGTTTTTACCGTCCCGAGGACCCCAACTAGGAAGTCTACATCTCCCTTCGTGGCTTAGACTAACTGTTGTGGATTTCATTGACTGGTGCCATGTTTTCGTTTGACCGCCGCTAGCTCTTTTCCAGCCTGGCCGTATATCAGTTAACAATGTCCGTCAGTCGAGGAAGGCGATGACTAGGAATACGTAGCACGTGTCCTAACCATCTCAGTCGATGTAATTTCACAGTTTCGTCGATTGATTTCCCCGCCTTACCTAGCACTCGACCGGTGCCTAACCTCAATATTGCTCAACTTATTACACCACTTCACGCGGGAGATAGAACGCAGACACCTATGATCGAAGACAGCTAATCTTTTCATGTCTTCTGCTCTCAATGGCCAGGTCTCACAGCCATAAAGGAGGACGGAGCGGACTGTTGAGCAGTACACACGCCTTTCGGTCGCCAGAGACGGCGTAAACTGGCGTATGCGAACCTAGCCCTCTGTATTCGTGCTGATATTTCGTCTGAGATCAACCCATTGGGACTGATGGTACTTCCCAAGTAATTGAAGCGGTCAACGTGCTCTACCACTTCACTTCCTATTTCTAATCTACGGGTCGGTGACGTCCAATCCTGCAGCATCATCTTACATTTTACAGGGGCAAATCGCATGCCAAACATACGAAGATTGTTGCTCAAGGTGTTCAGTAGACTCTGCATTTTGTCAGAGTCCTCGCCTAGAAAGACTATATCGTCCGCATATTCTAAGTCGACGAGATTCTTCCCTGGTAGCAAGTCAATCCCTGAGTCGCTAAAGTGTGTTAGGGTTAAGTCCATGAGTACGTCTATGATGAAGTTGAATAGAAATGGGGATAATGGGCATCCTTGACGGACGCCACTAGTCGTCACCACTTCAGATGACAACTCGCCATAAGCCCTCACCTGGCTGCATGAGTACGAGTAGAGTGCCTTAATCAGTGCAATGTATTTTCTTGGCATCCCCTTTACAGCCAAGCATCGCCAGAGAACCTCCCGGTCGACAGAATCGAATGCCGCCTTTAGGTCAAGAAATATAATGATTGTCGGACGCCGGTAGGAATGCCTATGTTCTAGAATCTGTCGAAGGGTGAAGATATGATCAATACACCCTCTACCTGGCCTAAAACCTGCCTGGTTTTCTCGTGTTTGTGTCTCCCGAGCACCACTTAGTCTACGCAGTATTATTGAGCTTAGGATTTTAGATACTATATTAGTCAGGCTAATCCTTCTGTGATTATCACAAGAAGACTTGTCTCCTTTCTTGTATATCGGGATGATCAGTGACTTACACCAACCCGATGGGACTTCCTCTGATTCCCATACGCTGCCTAGAACCTCAGTTGACGCAGACAGTAAACTGTCTCCACCATACTTAAATACCTCTGGAGTCATTCCATCAGGTCCTGCTGCTTTGCCTTGCTTCAGATTAGTGACAGCTTTAGTAACCTCAGTTAAGGACGGAGGACCTATGTCTAAATCCCATTCAGGGAGGTGTTGGATGTCCGGCAGGTTAAGTGTGGCTGTAAGCCAATTAAACTGCTCCTCATAGTGTTCTTTCCAGCACTCCAGACGTCTATCCTGGGAGCTAATTATGGTGCCATTTTTCTCAGAGATTGTTTCGCTTATCATTTGCCTTTTACCACCTGTTTCCCTGATAAGCCTGAATAGTTGTCTGGTGTTGCCCAATCCAATGCCGTGACTCAAACAAAATCACCTCTCAGTCGACCGAGTCGAATTCCGCCTTTAGGTCAAGAAATATGGCAATTGTTGGATGCCGGTGAATATGCCTATCAAAATGTCCCTTCCAACATTCTAGTCAGTCCAATCAATCAACGGAAAAAAACAAAATGAACTTAAACAAAGATAAATATTTCTGTTTATTAAATAATCTTTTTTTGTTTATTCAAAAGTAGATTTAAAACAAACAAACAAATTACTTCGATTTGTTTATTGTTGGTTTATTGGTATGTTGTTTAGCATAAGCTGTACCCCTAGGAATATTACTCGCTTGAGTTTCTGGTTTCTTATTTTTCGCTGAAAAATAAATAAATTAAAGTGTGCGGGATTCGTATCATGAAGTATTAATTTAAGTATAACCACAAATTAATCGTAAAATAATTAGTTAATATTTTTTTCAAATGTAATAAAGACCAATTTCTTCCACAACATGTTATACCTAATTGACTAAAGATACCCATTAAACTTTTAAGCGACTGATTACTGGACAAAGAATATTCCCATTTGCGATAACCTTCTCATCCGGTTCCACAGTATCCATAATCATTAAAGAACTACTATTACTATCCTTATTATTAACATTAATGTACTGAATAATCCAAATATCAGGGAACGCTGCAATTCGCATCAAACACTCGGAACTCTGAGTGCAAAAGAAACGTCCAACCACCATTGTTACTCTGACCTGTTGTTGAATCTATGCAATCATAAGTTTTGTATTACTTCTCTTAATTTATCTGATATTCAGTTTAGTGTGCCTTTTTTAGTACGTATTACCACCTACAGATGCTTTTGAACTGTAATCTATTTATCTCATGGAATTTAAAGCTTTAATTGTGCTAATAACAATAATTCTTTAAGTTTTACCACGGGTTCATATCGGCTGGAGTACCATTGATAACCAACATAGAGTACTGGTGTGAGACGCATGGGCAGTATACATTCACCGAGGTTCAAACCCAGGTGTTTCCGGCTACAAGAAAAGCTCATAAACAATTCAATCACTGGGACCCGACTGAATGACCAGCTCATAAATTCTAACTTGTGCCGATTTGTGATTTTATGGCGACCACTAGCCAATGTCATCGGCGAGTATGTGTTGTCCTTCTCGACCTGCTAGAACCACTGATATCAATCCATTGTCAAACTTTCAACAAATCAAATCCCTACAAGCTATCTCCTGGAATTCTGCACAAGTTGTTACGGTAGAACATAAGAGCATTTAGCAGAGGAGTTATTTATTGGCAACTCGATGTACAGATTTAGGTAAAATACATCTACCATATATTATTTTTTATTCATTTTGTTCCTTTATGTTCCCAGTGGAACATAGGGCTTCAAGCTACAGGCTTGAAGTTTCGATAGCGGTAGTGTTTATTTTACGGGATGGGGTTGCTAGCCTCATAGCCAACCTTCCCTCTTTACCAGTCTTATCACTGGCTTAGCGAGGTTTAGGAGCGCGTCGGTGGGGGATCGAACCCGGAACCACATGTGTGGTTGGAGAGCATTCTAGCGCTAGACAACCGACGCACCTCTACCATATATTAAGATCACCATTTGTATATGTCTTCTGTATTGTGCTTCTTTTGTTTTCATTTAATGTTTCCTATGTTGTTTCACAAGGGTCTTTCATTTCTTCTCTTCGCCATTAAATCCATCTCTCGGCTATTCGATATTCGTATAAATGATATACATGCTTATATGTGTCCATATGCTACTTATAAATCTTTTCAGTAGCACACACCACAATATAAATGTAGAACTTTGATGAAGAAGTTATCGAAGAGAATATTCTTTGTTCACTGATAAGTCTTTTGAAATCATACCTATTTATTAGATTTCACTCAGTGTCTGAATACGAATAGTTACTTCATAAAATCTATTTCAATGGTACATAAGTTTGACCTTACATTTGACAGGTACTTTGGCTAATACTCATATTTGCAGTCTACAAACATATTGAGTATGATACTATTGAATGGATTTCCAAGCAACTAGAACAAGGGGGAGGTTACTTCTCAGAGTAATGATGATACCACAAAATTTATTTATGACCACTAAATAAAGCTTTGTTATGTTATACAGTGTTAGACGTGAGTGATTATTTGCTAGGAGGACCCAGTTGACTTAATTTTTTGTTCTTGTTGATGTATATTTATAGAACATATCTACGAGTCTGAAGAAATTTAGTGATTTTGGGTAGGAGAACTTTCAACTTATTCCTCTGATAGCTTATTTGTGTATGCGATGCAGTAAATAAGTGTAAATGTTAAGTATTTCTTGAAGATTCACCTCCCTTCGTCAATTACTGAGTGCCAGAATCTGTTATTATAACACTAGCCTACCCTGTATGGCTATGCTTTCTGTTTTGATGGGAATCTAAGTTTTAATCAAACTTCATTGACTACATCTTGTACATTAATCAAGAAAGAGAATTAAAAAATGCTATTTATGTAAAACAGTGATATAATTCATATACGGTTCCAGTTGTTGAGTACATTTACAGTTTGTGCTTGTAATTTACCAGTCGTTTTATGTTGCGTGCCAGAAGTAAATTATTACTATTATTATTCCCTTGGGTTCCGAGTGGAAAATAGGGCTTCAATAACACATCTCCACTTTCTTCTATTTTTTGCTGTCCTCTTCATCTGGGTCCACAGCTGCCCATAATCTCTCATCTCCTCCATGTAACCCTCACACCGACAACTCATTCATCGCCTCCCATTTGGATTCCACTCGAGCGATGGCCTGCATTGCGCGCGATGTCATTCGACGGCCTCCTCAAATTATGCCAGATCCTTCCTCATTTTATCCTACATATTTGTTGAGCAGTCAGCTCTTGGTTGGTTTGTTCTCAGCCAGAGTTTCTTGTTGCTAATTCTTTCTGGCTGGTAATCTGATCTCCAGAAGTAAATAAGTAGTAGTATATTCTATACCATAGTTAAGTTGTCTAAATCAGTGAATCCGAGTAGATACTGTTCATACGTTAAAGAGGCGTATAAACTATCCTGATGTGAACTCGGAAATTATGTCTGAAATTCTTAACAACTAGAAAATTAAGAACATGTAAGTCAGTAAAGGTGTGTTGGTGGCACAACTGTAGAATGCTCGCCAATCACGTATGTGGTCCAGGGTTTAATCTCCAGCCGACGCACTCCTTTACCCCCCTAAGCCAGTAGTAAAAATGGTAAAGAGGGAAGGTTGGGCATGAGGCTAGCAACCCCATCCGGTAAAATAAACACTACCGCTACCAAAACTTCAAGCCTGTAGCTTGAAGCCCTATGTTCCACTGGGAACGTAAAGGAATAAAAAAAGTCAGTAAAGAGACCTCTTCATAACTTCACTTCAGTGCTCTACATTTACGAAGAAAGATCTGTTTACTGACTTATGTGTTCTTAACTAACAGAAAATATTTACTTAGAAATGTATGGATATTAAAACTACCACAGTTTTCATAATTTCTAAAAAAGGCTAAAACTAACTATTATTATATTATTATTGTTCCCTTGGGTTCCTAGTGGAACATAGGGCTTCAACTGCACGTCTCCACTTGCTTCTGTCTTGTGCTGTACTTTTCACTTGCGTCCATGTTATTCCATACTGTTTCATCTCCTCCTCACACGATCTCCTCCATGTCACCCTTGGACGTCCCACTCGCCGCTTCCCTTTCGGGTTCCACTCGAGCCATGGCCTGACGCGCGATGTCACTCAACGGCCTCCTCAGCGAGTGTCCAATCCATCTCCACTTTCTCCTGCATATTTGTTGAGCGATTGGTTCTTGTTTTGTTTGTTCCCATAGTTTCTTGTTGGTGATTCTTTCCGGCCATCTGATCTTCAGTATAGAGCGAAGACAGCTGTTGATAAAGGTCTGCAACAGGCTGTTGGAAATATTCTTTGTGACCCGCCAAGTTTCTGATCCGTATAGCAAAGCTGACTTGACGTTTGTATTGAAAATCCGAATTTTGTTGTTGATGCTGAGTGACGAAGATTTCCAGATTGGTTTCAGGTTGATGAATGTGTTTCTCGCCTTCCCGACTTTCGATTTGACATCCTCGTCCGTTTCTCCTGTAGTTGAGACAATGCTCCCTAGATAAGTGAATGAAGTAAACTCTTTCAAATCCCTCCCGTTAATGGTGATTGGCGGTGGATGTTGCTGTTGTTGTTGTTGGTTGGTTATTTTCGTAATCTCCGTCTTGTCTATGTTCACCTGGAGTCCTGTCTTTGCTCCTTCTTCGACCAGTTTGTCGGTTTTCGCTTGTAAGTCTTCGATTTTGTGTGAAATCAAACATAAATCATCCACGAAATCCAGGTCTTCTAGGTTCTTCACGTCGGTCCAGAGTATCCCTGTCTTCTCGTTTCCCACTGTCTGACGCATAATCCAGTCCACCACAATTAGGAATATCATTGGTGATAATAGGCTAGCACCCTTGTCTGACTCCTGTGTTTACTCTAAACGCCTTGCTGAGTTTTCCGTTGTGGATCACTTGACATGTGCCGTTGTCGTACAGCTGTTGAATAAGGTTGATAAATATTTGGGGTACGCCGTAGTACTTGAGTAGTTTCCAAATTACTTCGCGGTTAACGCTGTCGAAGGCCTTCTCAAAGTCTATGAAGTTGAGATAGAGATTTGTTCGATGATGATGCGTAGAGTTGCAATTTGGTCAGAACATGATTTGCCTTTCCTGAATCCAGCTTGTTCTGTTCGGAGTTCTGTATTCAGTGCATCCTTGATTCTCTCCAGGATGGTGAGACTCAGGATTTTACTTGGCGTCGACAGGAGCATGATTCCTCGCCAGTTCTTGCAGAGTCCTAGGTTGCCCTTCTTTGGTAGTTTCACGAGGTAACCTTCCCTCCAGTCAGTAGACACCTTTCCCTCTTTCCAGATCTTTTGCAATAATGGAGTCAGCATATCTGCTGTCGTCCCTGGGTCCGCTTTCAGTGCTTCCGGCGGAATTCCATCTGGTCCAGCTGCTTCTCCAGCTTTCAGAAGCTTGATTGCATTCATGACTTCAGTTTTCGTTGGACGATTGGTGTCAACTTGCAGTTGTGTACGTGCTGTTGTTGGTATTTCTGGACGGGTTGTAGGTGGTGGTCGGTTCAAGAGTCATTTGAAGTGGTCCGCCCACTGTTTAATCTGTCTTTCTTCTTTAGTAATTGGGTTCCCTTGACTGTCTTTTATAGGTTTCACTTGTGTTGATCTCTTCCCGGATAGAGACTTGGTTATCTGATATAGTGTCCTTAGGTCCCTTTTGCCTGCTGCCTTCTCAGCTTCAGTAGCCAGGTTGTTGTAGAATTGTCTTTTGTCCTTCCTGGCACTCTTCTTCACTTCTTTGTCCAGTGCTGTGTAAGTTGAGTTCAGCGTCTCTTTCTCTTGTCCATCTTTGCATTGAATCATTTTCTCTTTCGCCATTCTCCTCTCCTCTATTAGTTTCCAAGTGTCCGTTGAGAGCCATTCCTTGTCTTGTCTCTTCTTTCTTCCTAAAACCGTTGAACACGTTTCGTTGAAAATTACCTTCAGAGAGTTCCAATGGTCTTCCACGGATGATTCCTCAGTGGTGCCTCGTAGCTAAAACTAACTAAACACGTTTAAACTAGTTTGGACAAGTTAATGCGATTGGATAGCTTAGAAGGCAGACCAATTAGATTGATTATTAGTTACCTAATATTTCTACATAATGTATTTTCGTACAATACAATTGAAATGGTTTCACCGGTACAGACCATTATGGATAAGATTTTATTTTGATAAATCACACAATGTTACACAGTAATATTAACTGATGACGTTTCGAGCACAGATTATTGCTCATAATCATATCAAGTTACTTGATGGAGTTACACTCTACAACAGTGCCCAAGTTTTATACTTATATCAACGGTACAGACCAGTCTATCTCTATTATCTCAAGATAAGGGAAGTAAACTGATAAATAATCAATATCTGGTCTTCAGTCTAGTTGCCTGTTGCTTTTCATTATTGAACCCATAAATCAAAAGTAGTATTGTTATATCATCACCGACAAAACAACTGGAGATTTACATACCCGGTAATCCGTGAAAGAATTTTCAAATAATATTCAGTCATAATTTGTTGAAATTACTATTTCAAAAAGTCCCCATTGACTGATTATATTAGACCGAAATGCTTAGTCTCTGCTGACATATCGGCTCTTAAGTACGGATGCTTCTATGATGCTTTGAAGCTAACACAGATCCTGAGTATCTCAGTCCAATACAATCAATCAATCGGGAAATTCAAAGTAGTAATTCCAACAAATAGCAACTGATCTTTACTGCACATCTGGTGGTTCTCATGGCCCACTCTCCTTGTAGATAACTCTTTGGCGTTCAAAATAACGAATGCTGGGCTCGAGTTTCAGTGGTAACACTGACACTTACTGGGATACAGATACCTCCAGCTGACAATTCTCAAACAGGACTAAATGTACGTTCTGAATTCTAGTGTTAGCCATCATCCACTAAATAATATTAAGTTACATGTTAAAATGGTAATTAGAGAAATATGGTAGTTTTAGAGAAATAATCTTTACTCACATATTGATATGTTAGACGTCTGACCAGCAATATTCAATCGTGGTAGCCTCGATGGCTGTGTACTAGAGCAGATACGAACTCTTTTTACCCGACTTGGTTCTGCGTTAGGTGGATTAACGTCTATTTGCATAGGAAAACACACAATAATGAACATCAGGAAACGGTAAAAGCTTTTGCATAATATGCAATCTATCTTTTCTATGCCTATACCTCTAACATGAGCTGTAAGTACAGTTAAAACCTTTAGAAAACTGGTTATAGGCAATAGCTATTTTACTGCATAATGTCAAGAGTGCCATTTCCGCTTTGATCCACTGTCTGCAGTCGGTAATACTGGAGTATAAAACTAACTAGTATGGGATTTCAACAGAGTTAAATCCATTGAAGAGAATTGAGTTTATGGAGGGTAACTCAGTGTACTGATAATTACAAAAATGTACTTATGATTGATAAATAAAGTTATATACTTTAATTAAACAACAGCTGTGAATTGTAAAGGTTAATATTTGAAATTTAAGCACACAGTTTATTCTCGGTGATAATTAGTAGGAAAGTGATGCATCGTGGTGGTGTGATACAGACAATGTATTCCAACGGAATATTATTCTCACATATTCCCACAGTCCAATACTGTATTAGCAACAGAATATTATGTATTTGAACATTCTATTTCATGTCGTTTAATATAAGCCAAAATCACACGCCCAGAGACTGGTTAAAGGATATATATATATATATATATATATATATATATATATAGCCAAATCGGTAAACAGTAATTTACATCAGTGTTTACGTCCCAAATATTGGTCGTGAGAAAAATAAGAACAAGGACTTTGCCTAGGCGGATACAGTTAGCATATAGATAATCTGACATTAAGAAACAGCCACAAAGAGATGAAAGATTAACTTTCAGTGAGAAACAACCAATCAGAAGATTGTGTTTTTCTGCTAACAATAATCTATAATAATGTACATGAAAATCTATAAATATGTGTTGATTTCCTAAATAAACGATCTGTTGCCTGGCCCTTGTCTTCTGTTGTTACAGTACAAGTTACTGTATTATAGAAAAATTCAAGAAAACAATTTTACCTTTTTCGTTGGATGTGTAATACTTTGGACATTCAGGAACACGATGATAATTCTCACTGTATGGATCGATTAAATGAGATCTTTGATAGTTGTGATGCATTGGACATGGTACAGGTGACTGAGCTAGTTTCCTGTTAGGTAAAATAAATAAAAATATTTGATCAGATTGACATTTCTGGCTGTCTTAAGATGATGAATTTTATTATGCTTATAAAGCATGTTGACTTACTTCGGAAATGATCTATCCAGAGGTAATATTACCAAAGATGAAGATTGGAGATAGTCATTATAACTTGTAAGAATCCCACAGCTCTGACTATATTCATAGCAACTAGTGAGAGAAATCACATTCTAAGTCATTCACGTAAAAGTTTTCAAGCTTGAAACCTTGACTGATAATAGCCTGTATGTTAACATGGTATCCTTAAGATACAAGTGTTTAATCTCCATCAGCTTCTTCCCCTGAACCTAATCAACAAGTTGATGTACATTCCATACCTTAACATTTACATCTGGAGCCTGCACCATTTGTGTTAAATATAAGTGCAAAAAAAGAGAGATTCAATGTCTATAAAATTCTATTTACCTTTATGCTATGTTGATATTAAATTGAAATCAGGTACTGTAATAATGTACCATATGAAAATTCCCTTCGTTATTTATAAAAGTATAAGCAAAGAGGTATACAGTAACAGAAACCTGTCACTAATATATTTAGTGACCGCTTTTCATCATAATCAGGGGCTTATTCAGAAGTTTGTTCCTTGATTACTAGTTATGTTTGGATAAATGGACAGGTGAGAGACTAATAAGATGATATGTCGTCACTATAGATTGAAAACAAGTTGTATGACGTAACAGCACGACAGAACAGAAGTCAGTTTTAGTTGCAGTACAGTAGACACTAATAACTTTGAATTAGTTTACATGGTATATTGTGAATTTATATACTTAGATGGTTGGAGGCAATCGGCAGGAAGCCTTGTGACCTAGGTTTCGTGCTAGTTGGCACTCATCAGTCAGGCGTATCTGCAACCTTGAAGGAACTCATGTCCCTTCTGAGATTCGAACCTGCGTCACCCAGTGAGTACTGCAGTCAGAGACATTACCACTGAGCTATTCGGGCTCGCAATTGACCTCCTGTAGGACTGTATTGGATACTTTGAATGGACACTAGTAACTAGTGTGATGTGTCTAGTCCTTTCTTTGGTGCAGACTGTAGCAATGGGTGACGCGGGTTCGAATCTCAGAAGGGAAATGAGTTCCTTCACGGTTGCAGATACGCCTTGCTGACGAGTGCCAACTAGCACGAAACCTAGGTCAGATGGGCTTCCTACCGATTGCCTCCAACCATCTAATATCATCAAATCAATGTGCACCGTGATGGCGAGCTACCTAGAATGGTGGCCACATTGCAAACCTGACTGATAGAATTCAGTCTGCAACAAAGAAAGGACTAGACACATCACACTAGTTACTATTGTCCATCCAAATTATTTATATACTTATAACTAAGAATAATTTTTTCAGTCATTCTCTTTGAAAGATCGACAAATCACTGTTTCTTGTTCACCTAAATGAGCGTGATCACTGGTTAGTTTAATTCTTCTGAAGTAGCACAATCGTCTATTTTGAAGTACACAAAATATTAGCGAAATTGAAATACTTAATTTGAAAATTAAGTAATAACATGCAACTATTATCTGTATGTACCATAAAGTAAAACTTGTTTGGGTCATGCAAATCATACGGTAAACTGAAACCTAATTGTTAAGATATTTACTGTGCTTTAAATTATAAATCAAAGGTACACCTGAGATTAATAATATTTGTATGAAATTCAATACTAATTTCAAGTTTGGCCACGAACAGACTTCAATTAGAGAACCACTAAAAACCAGGGAGTTCTCAACGACTGTTTCATCCTTGTTTGGAACACTTCAGAATCACGCACCCATGATCCTATAGCTAGGGGTCAAACCCAGAACCTTCATATCACAAGGTAAGCTCGCTGATCATTCAGCCACTGGAACGAAATTCAACAACCCATGAATTTTCTTTCGAACTTCAGACAACTCTGTCCTCTAGCTGAAGTCTGTTTGGTGAGGAAGCTTGAAACCAATCAAATTCCTGAAAATCAACTCTCGAAAATCAATATTAATCCGTTTATTGAATATATATCACGCAGTGAAACAGTATTATTTACTGGATGATGTTTCGAACACAGTTTATTGACCATGATCATATCAGCTGTGACCATAAAACTTCGAAACTTGATTTGTATAGTTCTCCTTCTTCCTCCTAATTTGTCAGAGGGGGAGGAGAATTCTCTAAAAGTCGGGGACTGCTGTTGAATCATTCCTATTGTTGTAAATCTTGTCAGGTGGTTCGACAAATGCTACTTGTTCAGATTTCACCATGTTTTGTACAAAATCTAGACTATTATGCCTTATGGAGAATAGCTCAGTTATAGTACTACATGTCGTTATGCCCATCCGTACAGTAAGATGGGACGACAGTCTTAAAATCTAATGGAACAGGGTGAAGGGAGAGGTCGATAACTGAAGCTTTATTTATCAAATCAATCGAAAATATGTGCTATAGGGATGATTCAACACTTATTTGGAACATCTGCAAAATGCTACTCCCCTTACGAGAAAGAGGAAAAAAGATGGAGAGCTGTAAAAATCAATTTTCGAAGTTGTTACAAGCGATGGTGGATTTCTTCATGAACCCATATCAATCAGATAACCACACAAACTTGGATAGATGTTTGGTCCTACTTTGGGACTTTTCAATAGTGTCCATCCATAATCACATATAGAATCGAGCTTAGGATTGCTAGGTTACTAGTTGAGTCCCTTACCGTTTAGTAACTGAGACAAAAAGAAAAGGATTATCATTTGTACACGCTTCATAGTTCTTCAGTGCTCCTAAGATTCCGATAATTCTAGAAGTTTCGATGAATTTTTACTAGAAAGTAAATCAAAATCTTACAAACCGTATTGCTTTATGCTCCATCAGTCACTGTACTTACTTCTTCACACTTGCTAACTCTCGATGAAGTTCTTCTTGTTCCCTGTTCATACGTTCTCTTTCTTCGCGCATTGCTGACTGTGATCTAGCCAATATAAGATTCTGTGATCTAAAAATAAATCAAAAGTGAAGTTTAGAGAAGAAGATATTTCAATTTAAATGAAATAAATTATTCTGACACATTATCTGTGATAAACTATACTGTGAGAATCAGACTGAGTTAGATTGGACAACTGTTTTCTTGCAGTTTTGAACTTGTTGGCATTAGGTGTTCAAAATACCAAACTAGTAGGTTCCATCAAACAGGATAAGAGGATGCTCGTTCATCGGTGAAAGCCGAAATTATTATTTAGTGATCACATCGACATTATTATTATTTCCTTTAATTCCTAGAGGAACATAGGGCTTCAGCCGTGCGTCTCCATTGCGTTCGGTTCTCTGCTAGAGTCTTCACCTGGCTCCATGTCTGCCCACACGTTTTCATCTCCTCTTCACATGACCTCCTCCAAGTCACCCCTTGCACTGACGACCAACTCGCCGCTTCCCTTTCGGGTTCCACTCGAGCAATGGCTTGTCTAGTGATGTCACTTGATGGTTTCCTCAGAGTATGGCCAATCCATCTCCATTTCTTCCTGCCTATTTGTTTCACAATCGGTTCCTGCTGAGTTGGTTCGCTCACCAGAGATCCCTGTTGCTGATCTTTTCTGGCCATCTGATCTTGAGTATTGAGCGAAGACAACTGTTAATGAAGGTCTGTAGTTTGTTTGAGATGCTCTTTATGACGCGCAGTGCAAGTCTCTGATCCGTATAGTAGCACTGACTTCACATTGGAGTTGAAAATCCGGATCTTATTTTTGATGCTGAGTGCTGTTGACCTCCACACAGACTTGAGAGTAGTGAAAGCTTGTCTTGCTTTCCCGATCCTTGCTTTGATATCCTCGTCAGTTCCGCCTGTAGTTGAAACGATGCTTCCCAGGTAGGTAAAAGAGGTTGTTTCTTTCAGGTTCCTCCCATTTATGCTGATTGTTGTCTGTTGTTGTTGTTGCTGTTGGTGGTGTTGCCCAGGAATTTTCATCACCTCTGTTTTCTCTATGTTCACCTGAAGTCCCTCTTATCTTTGATGCTTCTTCTGTCAACTTGTTGCTTTTCGCTTGCATATCTTCCAGTTTGTGGGAAATCAGACATATATCATCGGCGAAGTCCAGATCCTCCAAGTTTTTTGTGTGAGTCCATTTTATGCCTGTTTCCTCATTGCCCGCTGTTTGTCGCATTATCCAGTCTACTGCAATCAGGAAAATCATTGGTGATAGTAGGCAGCCAGCTTGTCTTACTCCTGTCCTCACTTCGAAGGATTCCGTAAGTTTCCCGTTGTGGATTACTTGGCATGCAGCATTGTCGTACAGCTGTTGGATGAGATGTATAATTGTCGGTGGCACCCCATAGTAGCGAAGTAGTTGCCAAAGCACCTCTCGATCGATGCTGTCGAAGGCCTTTTCAAAGTCGATGAAGTTGAGATAGAGAGGTGACTGCCATTCCAAGCTTTGTTCAATGATGATCCGTAATGTGGCGATCTGATCAATACATGACTTGTTTCTCCTGAATCCAGCCTGTTCCGGTCGACATCGACATTAACTGTTTGATATTGACGAGACTCACTCTGTTTTATATTACTGTTGATATATATATATATATATATAATGTCTTATGAATACGTACCTTTTAAGCTCATCCACTTCTTGCTTCAGTAAGTTATTCTGTTGTTGCATGTATTCTTGATCTCGAAATAATGTTTGTTGTGATTGTGTAAGCGTGTAATTGTGAGATCTAGAAGTAAAGACAGGAGATAGTGAAGCCTAGTAAATATCTCAAGTGAAAATAAATTTATCTGATAAAACCGTCGTATGTCAATTATCTTTAGATATATGAAATTATGTCTACTAGTATAACAATTAGTCTAAATGACAAAATCAGTTAACTAATTGTCTTCTTCTTTCAATTACTGTAACAGTAAAATTAGACAACGTGCACCTTTCATAATACCTGGTAGGCCAGACAAAGGGTGATGAAATCGTAGTTGCGTTGAGGAGCCACCACCTGAAAGTCTAGAGCCTAAATCAATGAACTCCACCTGCAATACACTACGCAGAGTATTTCAATAACAACGTAAACTGCTTTCATTTTAGAGTGAATACAGCTTCTGATTTACCTTATTCAGAAAGCATTTATGACAACACCACATACAGTCAGCGAATAATACTTTCTTGTGTATTATTATTATCCTCTTGAGTTTCGGGTAGAACGTCAACTAGTGTTAACTAGTCGGTCCTAATCCCGGAAGAAGAGGGAAAGTTGGGTGTGGATTTAGAGACCCTACCCTGGAAAATAAACCCGATCACTACAGAAACTTCAAAGCATAGCAAAAATATGAAAAATATACTTATTCTTCGCTAGAATCAAAGATACAGAATGACGCGGGCTGGTGAAAGCCTTTGAGAAGCCAGTCAGTTGATGTATCTTCTTTCTATGGAAGCAAAAATAAGCATTGGGGCATATGATGTCCCCACGATTTACGAAGCTGGAAATGATGCTCGGATTGTAAAAGAAATGAGAAGATATGGCACAGAAGTGTTATGAATCTGTGAGGGCAGGTAGAATGGATGTGAACTTGAGGGTCAAGAGTCTACTCTGGTCATCTAGACGACAAACACGAGCACACCGACAGAGTGGCTAGCATGATGTTGTGGCGTGTGCTACTGACAAGATTTATCAGTAATATATGAAGAGACATTCATCGACATAAAAATATCAAATAGTGGAGTGATAGATTTAACGTCAAAGAGAGAAAATGAACCAGTATTGTGGCAAAACATGGGAGACACGAAAAGAAGACAAAGAAACACAATACGAAGGTCAGAAGTAGCAAGCACAACACGAAATATCTGTGCAAATGACTATTTTCAGATAAGGTGTACATAATTTCCTTATACAGAGATATCAGACATTTGATAAAATTATATTTGTAAAATCTCAGTGAGAGTGAAATGAGTAATTCCAACGTTTCGTTCGGCAATCTGGTCCGAACTTCTTCAGAGAAATTAATCGAAATTAACATAACAGAGGTTTATACATAAAAGGAACATCTCTTCATTTGAACTGTGATCAAGATTTGACCGGATAGTTGCAAAACTTTGTCTAATCATGAATTATGAAACAGGTATCAACATGTATAATAAACAAAATTGTATGAGCTGTGATCAAAATTTGACCTCGGACTTACAAATATTGGTCTACTTTTGTTAAACACTTTAAACAGATTTTGATGTGGTTGTGTTCTCTGAGCTGGATAGTTAATTTGCGAAGCTTTCATCACCCTACTAGGTGACATCTGCAGCGCATACTTCAATTTGAAGATGTATGCGCTGAAAGCTTCGCAAATTAACTATCCAGCTCAGAGAACGCAACCACATCAAAATCATCCACCTGAGCTACAAATCTTCTCCATCATACTTTAAACAGAGTGTACTTTTCATCAGAATTTTAGTGATTACGTTCGACTAAAAGTTCATGGTCCTAGATAACTGAATATGAAGGTATTTGTGTACATGCAGTATACAATGGTGTGTGTATGTGTATGTGGGTAAAAAGTTGTAAAACATTTGATAACTTCTTCATAAGAAGACATAGACAATCGGGAATTTTGACCAAGTATTATTAATTAGTGATACATATCCGTTTTTTATTTATTAATCAGGATTTGCTATGCATCAGCTAACATCACACCTTCATGTCTGTTCAAACTGTTAGTATCTAGAATTTTATGATTATACGTATTTTCGAAATTGTGGTGTTTAGGATTAGAGTTTAGTTGAAGCACCCTGCCGAACTTATTGCTTTGTCTTCTTTTTGAAGATTGAGCTGCTTTATTGAGACCTACTGGAGTTGTCAGGTGACTCGACAGCTACGGATTTAGGATATGCATTCTGTTGCAGACAACGGAGAGTGAAAACACAATGATTGTACCAATTACATAGTTTCTTTGTTGCGCTACAACTAAACTCTAATCCTAAACACCATAATTTCGAAAATACGTCTAGTCATAAAATTCTAGATACTAACAGTATGAACAGACATTTGATAAACCCTCCATTACTATTTTAAATGTATATATTTTTAACGACTTAGTGCTCAAACTAATTTAGGACAGTATATAAATCCATCATTTGGATATTTATAGAAACACAGACTTATAAAATGAAGTGTGACAATTAGTAAACAATCTCAGTTAAAAGCTTATAAAAGAATATTCCAGCTAGGGTGCAATTTAAAGAGAAGGAGGATCTCTTCTCACTTTATGAAAATCATAGTTTGGTTATAGTTTATAGACTTTGGAACACTAAATGCACTAATACGAAGCAGTACAATGCCATCTGACTTACTTTAAAGCTTCATTTTCAGCTCTGTACTGATCGAGAAGGGCGTTCAATTTTGCATGCCATGCAAATGTAGAATCATCCATTTTGTCATCTTGTCTTTCACTATACTGATTTTCACTACCTATAAAAGGAATGCAATGCACTGATGTCAGCTCATGATGAAATCCTTCATGCAATTAAACAAAATCCCTACCAAACCAATACTTGAAAATTAATCTGATGCTCACTAGTGACTGGCCCTACTCAGGCAGTTAACCTGGGGTTCTAGTGGGAAGCCATGACCAGTAGGGTACAGCAAGTTGAAGATGAGGCAGTAACTCATCTAAGAAGACATTGCAAAATGGTCGCGCTATGTCGTGAATTGGCAGAAGTTAGAATTCAAGGACCATTGGATCGGGTCCCAGTGGCTCAATGGTCTACGACATCGCCTTGTAACCAGAAGGTCCTGGGTTCGAATCCCATTGGGCGCGTACCGCTGAAGAGTCCCAAACTAGGATGAAACAGCTGTCCAGTACTCCCAGGTTTTCCAGTGGTTCTCTAACTGATGTCAGCTCAAGATGAAATCCTCCGTGTAATATGGAATTACTTACTACCACAGTGCCCAGGTTTTACACATATACAAAACCATAAAAGTTAATGGAGAACTCAACATCTAAGAGTCAGTCAGCCCTTTATTCTTAGTGCCATATACTAATGCTGGATTAACATGAGTAGTTGGATACCAACCAGATCAATTAGTAGTACTTGATAGTGAGCTCAGATAACTGGATCAGTTAAAATGACCCGAATTCTGGCTAACTACATGGGTGAACTGATAATACACTGAAGGAAATCCGCAATTTCGAGGATAAATCAGTAGTATGTAACACCATGCATTTATACTTCCTTTCTTGGTTGCCATTTATGGTATCAAGCAGATTACATATTGTGATCTGAATAATTTCGATTTCTAAATGAAACTATGGTGAAATTTTTGATTGAGCTGTCTAATTTGCAAAGTGAGAATTCACTTCAATGTATTAGCACTTCACTCATGTAACTAGACAAAATCCTGGTGGTTTGAATTGATTCGCTTCTCTGAGCTGAGTCAAACTAGGTATAGGTTTTTATCCCCTCATAATTAACCATAGTTCAGCGTTCGACGTGGCTTCTTCGAGAATTAAATTTAACTTCTGAAGGCTTCTTGTCGGTTAGATATTCATGAGTTATTCACCAATGAAATTATTGATAACATTACTAAAACTACTACTATTACTAACGATGAAACTGCAGCAGTTAAATTAACAAAGCTTACTTCTGTAATTTCTATATTCTTCCAATTCTGACCGTAAACTTATATTTTCATCTTTCAGTTGACTGATTTGTTCACGTAACCTATCTAAAACCTAAGCATGAAAAAGATTTATAGAAACTATTGAGAAGTTTAACCAAAGTATAATTACACACAAAATGATCTCTGAGGTTGTAGATGCGTGTAAATCCCGGAAGGATTCATGCTGAAAGTCTTCAGTGCTAATGAATGACAAATAATTACACCTAACTTAATAATTTCATCTAAGCTAAATACGCACCGTTGGATAGCAAAGAGGTGGTTCAGAAACAGTTTAATTCTCGATTGGATTGCAGTTATCGTAAACACCCACGAATAAATTCAGTCGGACTAAGGGTTTATCCCGTAACATGAAGGTCGTGGGTTCGATCTTCTGTGGGGTCATGGATGTGTATTGCTGAAGTGTCCCAGACTAGAAAAGGACAGGTGTTCCATATTCCTCAGTTTTCAGTGGTCCTCTAACTGGAGTCATTTCGCGATCTAACTTGATAGCAGATAATTATTTTGCCTCCTTTATTGACATTAATGACAAGCTGAACAGTGTACCTTGATTTTACAATTTGATGGTGCTGGCATTAAAATGACATTTTTTCATATTAAACCAGTCATTATATGGTAGATCACTCTATGGTTTATCATCTGAAGTTGTTGCTTTTAATTCCTCATCAACATACTATACTACTCATTTTTGAGAAGTTAAAAGTGATAATCAATTTTCGAGTTAGATAATTTTAATAAAATCTTCAGTAGATATTAAACTAGTGTCCAATCAAAATACCAATACAGTCCTACAGGAGGTCAATCGCGAGCCCAAATAGCTCACTGGTAATGTCTCTGACTGCAGTACTCACTGGGTGACGCGGGTTCAAATCTCAGAAGGGAAATGAGTTCCTTCAAGGTTGCAGATACACCTTGCTGACTGGTGAGTGCCAACTAGCACAAAACCTAGGTCAGGCTGGGCTTCCTTACGATTGTCTCCAACCATCTAATACCAACAATTCACAGCGCACCGTGGTGGCTACACTGCAAACTTGACTGATAGAATTCAGTCTGCACCAAAGAAAGGACTAGACACATTACACTAGTTACTGACTAGTGTCCAATCAAAGATATTAAATTATATTGAAAAGTTGCCTTGTTGATTTTAAAGTTTTGAAAAAAATCTAGTTTTTAGTTGTTATTTTAAATATCAAGACCTACAAAGGGCATCACAAATAAATAAGAATTACTGCATAGTTGGTCACTTTTCATTGGAAGGAGTGAAGTTACTGACTAATTTATATTAGACAGAAATTCTCTATCTCTGTTGACATGTCGGTGCCTAGTAAAGATTCTACGACGACGTCTAAAGACTAACATGATGTTATTTGGTTGATGGTAGACAGTAGTGACATTCAAGATGCTAAGTTTAGTATTGAATGATGTATCGTTTGAAAATGTATTTTATACGTATACTTAAAATAGTCAAATGCAGTTAGATGCATGAGTAAAAGAACGACATTCACCTTTATTAACACTCATAGAACACAATGTAGGTAACAGATGAAGAAAAAGACATAGACTGAGAAGAAAATTTTCTTTTTGAAGAATCATTTTCAAAAGGTGTACAATCATATTTATATTTAACAAAGAATTCTTAAGACCAACCCATCGCTGGAAAACGCAACTGTTCCTAAGAAAACTCTCTTCATGAACCTAGGATTCGGAGGTTACGTTATAGCGGAGATTCTTAAAAACCGCCTTTCTAAATGTCTGAAGAAGACCTTAGCGTATGTATTTCACTTACAGCTTAGCACGCAGAATACTTTCCGCTAGATGCAATTTCAATTACATTTTAATTTTATTACTATAAATTTAACACAAAAACCTCTCTTACGTAAATTCCTACTTTAATGTACTTAACTTACACGATGAAGATGATTGATTTGTTTTCTGTAGTGTTCCCCGGAATATTTAATGAATAATTCATTTTGTACAACTGGTGTAGCCTGTAAAAAGTAAATAGAAAAGTTTATATTGAATTATTTTATGCTTCCTACTGTTTGATTTACATTGGTCCGTCATTCTCAGTCACTGGTGACATGTCCACTCGTAGTAAAGACACTTGGATGATATTTCAAGGTTAGGATGCATCAGCTGTCCAGTACTCCCTGCTTTGAACTGATGTTAGATGGTTAGGTGCAATCGGCAGTAAGCTGTGAACTGGGCTTTCATTTTTACCGACATAGGTAAGCAAGGCGTGTCAGTAACCTTGAAGGAACTAATGTCCTCTCTGAAATTCAAACGCATATGATCTAATGCTGCAGTCACATACACACATACATAGGACCTATACACTATACTATAAAATGTCTCACGATAAAGAACAGTGCATGATAACAGAGTCAGACAGTACTATTAACTAGATGACGTTTCGAACACAATTCATCATTAGTAATCATCATATCAAACGTAACTCAACAAATTCGAAACTAGATTTTTATAAAAACTAGCTGTGTTCATAATGTCATTCAGTAAATAACGTTGTTTCACTTCCCGATCTGTTTGGCAAACCAGTTAATATGGAATTATTTACTAGGGATACATTAGAAAAGGTCAATAAAATGATGATGAAAATTGAGGTGATTTGGAAGATTTACGTTACTTTGAAGAGAATAGTTTGCATTTAGCTTAGCAGCTTTACAATACTGGATAATTAAGGAATCAAGTACAATAGGTGATCAAAAAAATAAGAAGAACCACAGTAATAATGACGAAACAAGTAATAAAGCTGAAGAAAAGTCTTAAAAGTAATTGCATCATTTTTGAACACAGTAGACTGAAATTAATTTGAAGGACTAGTAGCGTCAGTTGAACAACAGTAATAATTAACAAGTGCGTCTGTGGTTTAGGTGTTTAATGTTTGCCAGCCACGTACGTAGTTTCGGTTCGACTCCCGGCTGACATACTCCTGAACCTCTCCTAGTTAACAAGCCGAGAGTAAGCTTAGAAAAGAGGTACAGATGTAAGTGAGGCTAGTAACCCCAACGTCTGTGGGACAGTGGTTAGGACTCTCTCCTACCATGCACATGGTCTGGGGTTCCACTCCCTGCAGACGCACGCCTGATATCAATGGTCAGTCTGGAAAATTTGGGCTACCGATATCACATGCTGAAAATTTCATACTTGTACCAAAAAGTACTGTGTGGAATCAAGCTATAATCAAAAATAAAAAAATAAAACAGTACCACTTGCAGTGTAAATTCAAAGCTTAAAGCATGAAGTCAAATGTTCCACTTGGAACGGGAAACAGTGGTGATAAGCAAAAGAAGATCAAGAAGAAAATAAGTAGAACAGATCAAAAATAATGAGTAAATATAAACATGAATAAAATACTGCCTAAAAGCCCCATTCAATGTGTTGACCTGTGTTAAGTACATCACCTAAGAAAAAGCGCATTAAATACAATACCCATTTTAAGGCCTGAATATATTTCACCTAAGTGCCATATATACTCAGATTTTCAGTGATATAATCGATAGTTTGCGTTTACTCAAATTTTCAATATAAATATATAATTCTCATTAACCTGAAATATCTCCTCATACTTGTATTGCGAAAAAAAATCCTTAGGTCACTGATAACACAGTAGGTATCGAGAAAAAAGTTTGTAAAAAATCCTTTTTGGCTTGCTGATAACTCATTTTTTTAAGTTCATTACAAACGAAAAATCAATCAACAGTAAAAACAAAATATCGCAAAACTCACTGTTATTGTAAAGTGTGTATTTCCGATCAAATCATTGATTATCTGCGTTAAATTATGATCAACAAATGGACGTTTTGATGAATATTGACTTTTACTTGTTTGTTCAAGAATATATCTTTCTGAAATTATGTAAAATAAGTGAGAATTCAAATGAAAACATTGAGCTGACATGAAAATGCCGCGACTTTTTCTCTTCTTAACAGCGAAATCAGTTGGTGCGCTTGAAAGTGTTTCGCAAGGCACTTAGCAACAAAGGATTGCATTTTGTGGATATTTCATGACTTCACTAAATCAGTAGTACAATATTCGACATGATTTTTCAGTCACTTCTGTGAAAATCTGAATAAAATTTCATCATTAACGCAAACAAGCTAGAGAAAAAGAAAGTGCACTACTTCTTTTAAGTTTTGTTAGAAGTTAAGACAAATGCTCTATTATTAGATCGGGTCATGATCCACAAAAGGAGTGGAGATATAAATCAACTTCAATCACAAAAGAAAACATTAACTAAATAATCACTCTGAGCTGATTATGATGACCTGTCCTCAGATAAACGTCTCGAAACTGGAATGAAATGTCACCCAATTGGATGATTTACCACTGAAGTTGAGATAGAGAGCTGACTGCCATTCCAAGCTCTGTTCAATGATGATCCGTGGTGTTGCAATTTGGTTGATACATGACTTGTTTCTCCCGAATTCAGCCTGTTCCAGTCGAAGTTTTTCATCCAAGGTGTGTTTGATTCTCTCCAGGATGATGCGGCTTAGTATTTTGCTTGGGATGGACGGGAGCATAATTCCGCGCCAGTTCTTGCATTGACTTAAGTCTCCTTTCTTTGGTAGTTTGAATAAGTATCCTTTCTTCCAATCTTCAGGTACTTTGCCTTCTTTCCACACCTTCTTCAGTAGTGGCGTCATAAAGTCCGTTGATGTCTCTGGGTCCATTTTCAATGCTTTTGATGGGATTCAGTCTGATCCTGCAGCTTGTCCAGGTTTTAGCTTCTTTATTGCCTTCAGGATTTCTGTTTTCATCGGAGGGTTGGTATGCAATGGTAGTTCTACCTCTCCGGTTTTATTATTGGGCGCACTTTGTAAGTGGTGATCGATTTAGAAGTCTTTTGAAGTGTTCATCCCAGTGTTTCCTTGGCTTTATGAATTAAAACTGTCTGCCAAGGAAAACGCACATGTCTACATTCAGTAACCTAGAGAAAGTGTGGTGCAGATAAGTCGCATCTATTCTCCATGCCTTCAGTGGTTGAGTGAATAGAAATAATAGATAATTATCATTTCTTTTTGAACGGCCATCAACTTCTTTACTTAATCAATCACAGAAAAAAGTGTAGAGAATTTCGCCCATTCGACTATTTTTTGGTTAGTATTATGCTTTCTTATCAAGAACTGTGCATTATTCATTGAATGATTATAGGGCAGAATACTCAGTCACTGTACTGAATGAATGAATTCAAACAAATGACTATTCACCAAACATATTTAATATTCTCAAGGCTCTACAACTACCTAAATAAATAAATAAATCTGCAAGTGGTTTTCTACTTTACCTCTCTAGCTTTGAATTTAAATTAAATGTTTTAGTAATTACTGTTGAAATAAACTGGGCATTTGAGAGTTGATATTTATAAATAGTCTACAAGTCATTTCCAGTAAATAAAACATTTAGTGTCTTATGCTACTGCGTAATTCTGTAATTGGTGAAAACATTGTTTATAACACTTTTCTTCATAGGTGAGAGTAATTTATTGTCCTATTTTTCATATACGTCATTTATTCAAAAAGTATGTATCTGTTCTAATCTGTTATTGAGTAATAATCAACATAATCCTTTTCATTCTTCGATAATAACTGAATCTGCTAAGTCGCATCTACTATGTGTGCACTAATATCATCTGTCAAGAACAACACGTTTGTAAGCATATAGTGGTCTGGAGAAACTTAGGTGCAATTATTAGTATTATTCGTTTTTTCCTGTTCCATATCGAAAGCAGAACTTCAGTAGCACATCTACGATGTATTGCATTCTCTGACGTCCTATTCAGCTGGTTCCACAAATGCGCATAAGCTTTAATTTTCTCTTCACATGATCTCTTCCATTTCATCCAAAGCACACCTGACCGGTGGCTTACCATTCCGATTCCACTTGAAGGTTTAGCGAGTGATTTCATATGGCAGTCTCCTCAGAGTATATCCAGTTCACCTCCATTTGCTTCAGCTTATTTGTTGAGCAGTATGTTCTTGGCTGGTTCGCTAATCGCCCTTCTGGCTGGTCATCTAATCTTCAGTGTCGAGAGAAAGCAGCTGTTCAACATAGTCTTCACTAGCCTGGTGGAGATGCTTTTTGTGACTTACCAAGTCTCTGAACCATACAGAAGCACTTTCAATGTTGGTGTCAGAAATTCGGATCTGGTTCCTTGTACTGAGTGCTGTGGATCTCCACCCTGAATTCAGATTAATGAAGGTCTGTCTAGATTTTCTCCCTTTGATGGTTCAATTAATTTGCATCAATCCTTTATGCCTTCCTAGTAGTAACCTGTAGCTCAGTAGTTAGATGCAACTGGTGAATATCAATATCATTGAGTGATATAAGTATAAAACTTGGGCACTGTGTGATTTATCAAAATAAAATCTTAACCATAATGAAGTTATTATCATTGATTATTCCTCTGCTTTCTTACTTGATTCATGAGAAACAAAGTGTGGAAAAGTCTATTCATTCCCTGTAAGCAAGTGACTATTCACCAAACATACCTCTAGAATTACTTAACCGATATGAAATTAATTTTCTTCTCTACCCGTCTAGAATTGAATTTAAATTTTGATGAAACAACAATAGATTCAATTGAATTTTAGATTTTCCCGTCGATTGATTGGACCGAAGTGCTCGGTCTTGGGTTGACACGTCGGCTTCTTGAGCAGATGTTTTGACGATGTCTGGGCATTTAATTGGTGGATGGTGACTAGCATCTGCACAAGAAGCCGACATGTCAACCTGAGACCGAGCACTTCGGTCCAATCAATCGAGGGGAAAATCTAAAATTTAATTGAATCGATATGATGCGTTGCACAAGAGGTGGTTCTCGTGGCCCAAGTGGTCTTGTGGATAACGCTTTGGCGTTTGAAACTATGGGCACTGGGTTCGAGCCTCGGTGGGAACATCATCACTCACTGACTATGGAATGTAGCTACATCCAGATGACGAGTCCCAAATAAGACGAAATGCGCTTTATCCTGGATTCCACTTCTAGTCACCATCTACCAGTTAAATACGAAACAACAATAGCTTTTGAAAGAAACTCATATATTTAGGCATTTTGGAATCGAAATTTATCAGCAGTTTACAAGTTATTCGCAGTAAATAAAAGACTGAATGTCTTCTGCTTTTTTCGAAATTCTCTGACATGTAGAAACGTTGTTTTTAACACTTCTTTCATAGATGAGAGTAATTTATTGAGCTATTTTTCACTTACTGCATTTATTCAAAAAATATACATGTTTATTCTAATCAATATAATTCAATTCAATCTTCAGTAATGATTGAATCCACTAAGCCATATTTGCCACTTAGATGCTCAATTTGAACGTGTACCATCTTAGGTGGGGTTTTCATTGTTAAATCATTGAATATATCCTAAGAAAAGGTATTTTATTAACACGTCATGTTTCCAGAGATTCAGATACATAGATATCAACATCATAGTTGAGGATGAAACATGTGAGTTAACATGGGTGAAGTTTCTGAGCAACGAGTAATGTGTATATATTTAATGAGAGCAAGCACAGCAATGTGCTGACAACGGCTTATCAAATTCCAGCACTGAACCAAACATAACTGTAGGCTCTATTTTTTTTGTTGTTGATAAAAACTGGTAGTTACAATTACAGATGATTCCAGCAACGATAGTAACGACTGTTGTAATTTGAGTGCATTTTACAACCGTTTATTTTTTCTTTCCAATGATGATACACGTTTAACTGCGCAGTTTAGAGATCACAATTTGGTATCATCTATGAATAAATAGCACTGGTTGAAGCCTTCTGTTGCAATATATATATATATATATATATATATTGTACAATCGTATTATGTTTGGCTATCATTGTTGATTTTTCTTTATTCAGATAGATAAGAATAAGAAAAGTGTTCTGATAACTACTGAAATCATAGACAACCATTTTTATTCAGACAAAAGCAGTTTTGCACACTTTCAGAGACAGATTAAATATACATTAGTTTTATGGGAAATCACTTAGTTGGATCACAGGACGGATCACAATGAATCCGTAAGATACGTCTAAGACGATCAGAGATCTTTTCACCTATCAGTAATACATGCAAATCAACAGAGGTGCAAATGTTGTAGTAGAAATGTTTGATCAAAGTTGTTGACTTCCCATTTGAAAAGAGTCGTAATTCATATCATCTAAAGCTACATAATGCTATATTAATGATTAACATTCATTTCACAAAAGCAGTCACTAGTAACTCAGTAGATAAGACACTGATGTTTGAAATGGTCGGCAGTGAACTATAGTTTCAAGAGTAACTCAACTGTCTGTTACGGGCCAAATAAATCAGACTACCAGGTTCTAGCTAAGACAAAATATACGCACATGATTTCACTGTTAAACATAGCCGAAAAAAGTATTAGTGGATTATTATTGAAGTTTTATTATCCATAATATGTTAGACACATTGGGTATTAATAGCACCAGTTACTTCTAAAGTCATGGTTCTCAACAGGACAGGGTTGTTCGCATCATGTCCAACCTTTCCGTCTTTTCCGGGCTAACTACCAATTAGTGAACTACTATAGGTTTAGCAGTGCGTCGTTCAGGAATCAAATCCAGACCTCAAGCATGTCTGGGAAATATTCCAGCATTGGACAGCAGAATAAGATGATGAAATATTCTGCGATGGTCTGCGTTATTTGTCTGATTAATGTCCACTTTTTACCGTCTTAAAGTGTTTAGAAAATTAGCGTAATGAAGGGCTTTGATGGTGGAACTTTCATGTGTAGAACTTTATTGCTACGAACTTTTGGAGAGAATGAAAATTTTTACTTGACTTCGTGGGAAAGTTTTCCATGCAAAGAGCTACAATTGCATTCGGAAGGATATAGTTCAATTATAGAGATAAAATAAAACTTAGCACCACATAAAATGTATCACACACGTCTCATATCAGTTTCATAATAGACTAAGCACAGTTGTACTGATGGTTACACAGTTATTGATTTGTTCCCACAATATTAACATGTAGGGAACTATCTGTGGAGTACGTAACAATATGATTGTACACTTTTTTGTTAGATGTTGAAATTAGAGACATTGTACATGACTTTTGTTTAAAACGATTCATATTTAAATACAGATTACCTCCGAGTATAATCTAAAATACAGTGTACTGTTGGTCGCTTCGCCTTCTCACTGGTCTACACTGTCTACTCACTTCACTCATAACCGAGTTGTATACTTTGGATTTTTGCAGGAACCTTTTATCCTCATCCGAAGACTATTCTACAACCGGTACACTGCTTCTACCAGTAGACACGATTTCAGCAGTGAACGCTGCCGTGGATCATATTATTAATTTGTAGCCGTGAACTTTAATTGTATATCCAAGTAACCGTTTAATGAATATAACTCATTACTTCATTTTTTTATAACATATTGTTACATTATCATCTCATTAACTTGGATTTTTATTTGCATACTTGTTATGCTATTGAGCTCGCTAGACAGTCCCTTACGTATCTGTGAGCTGGATAGCTTAGCTGTACAGTCCCTGACTCTGCCACTCAACAGTGTATGTTCGAATCATAAATGGAGAATGAGTTTCCTCAACGCTGTGTGTAGACCTTGATAATAAATGTTGACAAGTATGAAGCCCAGGCTCAAGAATTATACCTGCTGACTCCTCATAAAATGTTATTTTAAGTGCATTACAAGTGCGTCGGTGGCATAGCGGTTAGGACGCTCGCCGACCATGCACATGGTCCGAGGTTCACTCCTTAGCCGACGCACTCTTTAACCTCGCTAAGCCAGAAATAATGCTGGTGAAGAGAAAAGGTTGGGCATGAGGCTAGCAACCCCATCCCGTATAATAAACACTGTTACATAAACTTCAAGCCACTAGCTTGAAACCCTATGTTCCACTGGGGACGTGAAGGAAAAAAAATAAGTGCACTACAACTTCAGGGTGAGATCAGTTTTTCGTACATATGATATCATGATCATTCCAAATGAAAATCGGTAAGATATTTTGCTAAGCAAGTACTAACTAACTATTCTCAAGTGTAAACATACCTAGATCATAAGCGGCATCAAGGATTTGATCAGCAATTTGTACTTTACTCACTGGAATTTCTCGACCATTTCTCATGTACAAAAGATCTGTATTGAAGAGTATTTTGTTTGTAAGAAAAGAATATTAATAGAATTTAATATGACTGTTTGTTTCAGAAAAAAAGCCGGTAAAATACAAAATAATAGAAATAACGCAAATAGTACGGAAGTTTCCTTCGAAATGCTAAAATACAAAACCTAATATAAACCAGTAATAATCAAGTGTGCTATATTTGGTAACTGTATTGATGGGACAAGTTAAAAGATACACTGATTAGTCACTAGGGTGAAACCAATGTCACGCGTCTAGTTCTCGGAGTCCGCTTAGATTAAATTCTATCAGTCAACTTTGTAATATGGCCACTAAGCCAAGTGACTTGACATTGTGGTGCACTCGGAATTGACAGTAATTGGTTTGAGGCCATCGGAAAGGAGCTTTAGGGGCTTGAATTGCCTGAATAGCTCAGTCGTAGCGTCTGTGATTGCAACACTGGATGACGCAGGTTTTAATGTTAACGGATACATCAGTTCCTTTAAGGTTACAGATTTACCTTGATAATGAGTGCCAGAAAGCCAGAAACCTAGGTACAGCTATAGCTTCCTATCTATTGCCTCCAACGATCTAACACTCTATCTATAGCTCACTCTATCTATTACCCAGAAGAAGTATCTGAAGGTTTCATTTGAATTCATCATTTAAATAAGTATGACAGGTGAATCAATTTTTGGTCAAAATCTGTAAAATTATAGGGAGAAACGCGGATTCATTTTACACGTTTAAACATGTTTCACCTTTAAAAATCAAATCAGCTTATATCCACTTCGAGGTTCCGATTTCAGCTTTTCAAAGCTCTCCTGGTCTGTGTCGTTTCATTATTGACTGATTTGTGGAGTACTTATATTAAAAATCAGTTCCTTAGAATCACAAAATACTGGGCATAGCGTAGATGAGATTCTAAGTTGAGCAACTCAACACTGCACTTGTCTGAATTCAAAATATGATATTAAATAAAATCACGGAATTACTCTTCAAATGTGAGTTGTTTGCGTTCTCCATCAAAATCTTAACAGCCAGATATTCTTGTTTGTAGCTGTAGCGTATCAAATTTAACGTCTAAGATAATAAAAGCTTCCTGCTCATGCGTGGCAATAGCGTGAAACATACGACGCAGTAATTCCGTATGCTCGTTCACAGTTGTATATATTTTAGCTGATAATGTCATTTCTTTATCTAGTATCTTTCTAGGCTAAATCTAGGTAAAACCAGTTTGATTAGTCCCAAACCATAGGGCCATTGAGAAATATTTATTAAAATGCGATTGGACAGCCTTGAATTCCGAGCTTATACAGCCAGTTTAATTCGTTATCGACTGAAATGACTTTCCAAGGTGGGTAATATTTTTAAGTAATGTATTTTGTATTAGATCGTTTATTCTCATCGGCTGGGGTCAGGAGTGGTTGGAAATAGGTATTGATATTCGGTTTTCAGACGAGTTACTTATTACAGTCCTGTATGCATTCCTAGTCACAGCGTTATTACTAGTGCCAGCCATATCAACTTCTATTAAATTTTGGTGATGTTATCGAACCGAAACAGCAATATTCCTCTCGCTTATATAAATTTAATGGTGAGTTACTAGTCTTTGGCCCTGGGGCCGTGTGGGTGAGAGAGTGAGTGAATCCTAGCCACTTTACCAGTTATATCAGCCTGTATTGATAAATAACATAAGGATAGGAGCATATATCACACACAAAATCGGTATAATAAGGTAAAGTGTCAAAATTCAGGGTTTTCTTTCCAAAGACTCTCACATTTAGTCAATATATTCATCGATTTCACTTCTTCATGTTTTCAAAAGACTAATAGTCTTGAAAGAAATGTAATATTAATTAAGGTCACTATAATTATAATTATAAATCTAGTGGAACCCAACTAGGGAGTAACAAGCTACACCTCTCACGGTGACATGGACGAGACCATGTGCAAAATAAATTAGAGCTTGTGGGCATTAATGAAAAAAGCTGAAAGTGAGGACAGAGAACCGAGTATGAATGGAGATATCCCACTAAAACCTTATGTGCCACTCGGAACATAGGGAAAGAATAATAATAATAATAATGCCATTGAACTAATCGAGAAGAGGAGTTCGCTAAATTTTTTTTCAATTATATATCGTCTCAGATGAAAGAAAACTGTCATTATATTGTTCATTTAAAATGAATCATATCACTCTCAATACTCACCTTTAGGATTAAACGCATTTATCTTTCCAGTATGTAAAAATATATCTGTAAATTGATTTTGTTCAGGATCTGTGTTTTAAACAAAGTAGAATGCTTAACACACCAATTATTGAATTATTTAATAAATAAATAAGTGTAAATTTCAAACGTTTTAAAAATTCAAGTGTTCACAGTAAACAAGTAACAAGTATACATATTGAAAATCTAGCAAATAATACTGTTTCACTGCGTGGTATATTCATTAAACAAGTTAATATGATATGTGGCATGGCAAACTTGACTGATAGAACTCAGTCTGCACCAAAAATAGGACCAGACACACTAGTTACTGACTAGTGTTCAATCAAAAATATCCAATACAGTCCTACAGGAGGTCAGTCGTAAGGCCGAATAGCTCAGTGTTAACGTCTCTGACCAACTGCAGCACTGGGGGATGCGGGTCTGAATCTCAGAAGCGACATGAGTTCCCTCAAGGTTGCAGATACGCCTTTCTGACAAGTGCCAGCTAGCACGAGACCTAGGTCCAAGGCATCCTTGGGATTGCCTCCAAGCACCTCATAGCAACAACTCACAGTGTAGTGCATCCTGATGGTGAGCCACCTAGTCGCATGGTGGCCACATTGCAAACTTGACTGATAGAATTCAGTCTGCACCGAGTAACGGACTTGACACATTACACTAGTTAATGATTAGTGTCCAATCGTAAAAGAAATTTATTATGGAATTACATACTACCAAAATGCCCAAGTTTTACACAAATTAATTATCAATCTATTTCAAAACTATAATAATGAATATCTTCCACAAAGGTAATTAATGACCACACTGATTGTTCCTGTCGAGTTTGATGTCTGCACCAATAACCTTCTGAGATTTAAAGGTCTCCCAAAGTGATAGATTCTTAATATACAGAACCTAACCAGGAATTTCTACTATTACGTAACCTTATCTAAAAGGTTTTCATTTATATATATATTATTGTGTAGCTTTAAAGCTGAATTAGGTTACCAATAAAATAATTACACTTTCGGCAATGAAATCTAAAGAATTAGCGGATATTCGATGACAGTGTATAGCTGTTAGGCTAACCTGAAAAATCTTCATATACTACCTAACTCAAGTCCTTCATATACTGTTTATAACCTATGTTTTCCAAAACTCCTTTGGGTTCCCAGTAGAACACAGAACTTCAAGATCTGAAGTTTCAGTAGTGGTGAGATTGCTGACCTCACGCTCAATATCCCTTTTTCCCTGTTTAATACCGGCTAGTGAACTAAGCGAGCTTCAGAGGGCTTTGCCAGCTGGAAATTAAACCTGTACCTCCTACGTGGTTGGCGGGCATTCAGTCAGTGAACCACTGACACATTGTTAACATTCTACTGAATGAATAAATTCGGCAATCCATATTCAACAAGATCACTCTCGCGTCCATAGCCACCGCAGACTGTTTTTTAAACATGAGTCACCACTTCACAGAAAAGATTCTACCCAGAAGCTGGATAGTAAATTGGTGGCCTGCTTAAAACTTGGGCTTGCAGAAACTTCCGTCTCTCTATTGCATATATTATCTCTCGTCCGATTTGTTTTAATAGATCACTTTATCACCTCTAATGGTTATTACCTACTCTTGTATGTATTTAAAATGTTTACAAGCTCCTGATTCGCAAGTTCCTACTAAACTTGAGGAAAGGCCTGCCTGGTTGTGGGTGGCAACGTGTTCCAATATATGAGATAACTGTTCTTCAGTTATGTGCTTGGGTCTCAAAATGTACCTCTGAACATCTTACAACTGGCTTTCAACCAGATATCGAGGATTTTTTGAAGAAGACAAAGCAGATATATCTCATATTGGAATGGTTTTTGCTTCAGCTCAAAGACAGACCATTGTGTCACAGGATATACTGTGAATTAATATTTTACTTGAAGATATTCTAGGAAGGGAAAATATCATGCAATAAACTCTTCTGAAAGTTCTGTACATATAAACTCACTTCAAAAAGAAATCTTGAGGCTACATCAGTACAGCTTGCATCCTAATAAACTTCTACTTTTAAAGTTTCAAAAATAAGCGAAAATAGATGTTCCATTTAAACTAAGAATCTTACTGCTTTCCACATATAACCATTTTGAAGCATCTTACAATTAAAGTAAGACACATTGCGAGAAACTCTAATTGCCGGAGTAGTTTAGTAAAGCATCTGCGAGTAAAGATGTAAACTAAAGTGAAGATTTTTTTTATTCCTTTAAGTCCCCAGTGGAATATAGGGCTTCAAGCTAGAGCTGGAAAGTTTCGGTAGCAGTGGTATTTATTTTTACGGGATTGGGTTGCTAGCCTCACGCCCAAGCTGTCCTCTTTACCAGTCTTATAAGTGGCTTAGTGAGGTAAAGGAGTGTGTCGGCCGGGGATCGAACCCCGGACCACATGCGTGGCCGGCGAGCATTCTACCGATGTACCACAGACGCACAAAGTGAAGATTAGGCGTATTTATATCCGTCAGTATCTTTACAGTATTATATTCAGTAAAAACAAATTTAGTCATGCAGGTGATTTCGGATCATTGTAACTTTCTACTTCTATTGGCGAACTGCTTGAATCACTGCGCTATCTGGATTTCCATTCAACACAATGCATCACCATATTTTCTCTAATCCTTATTGTCTTGACTATTCAATTATGTCCTTTGGTCATGGTGTACTCACTTATATTCTCAACTGGCGTTCAAAATATTGGTAAACATTTCTCGAAGATGAAGGAAATATATCACAAGACATTGGTCTATGCTTCAGAGCGAATAGCATTATGGCACGTGGTATGCTATAAATTATTATTTCACTTGAAGATCCTTAAGGGGGGTAGGAAGTATTGGGCAATAAATTACGCTAAGAATTCTGTACACTGTGTCAGCATGTTGTCCCGAATAAAGTTATCGTTATTATTATTAGTCACGCTGGTTTAAATTTATGAGTTGAATAAACAATGTGGTCACTAAGCTAAGTAACATAATACTTTATCCTACATTGTAATGTACTCCAATTTTAGTGTTATATGTTAGAATGAAATCAATAAATGTTTGATAAGCAAAGAATAAAGAATTAGGCAAAGTTAAACTTTAAGCACCAGTAAGTACCAATGGACAAATGACCTTGAATGCACCAACCACATGATAAAGGCGATTTTTGTGTATAAAATACATATATTCATGAAAATAATGGATTAAAAGGCATGAAATTGTTACGCAGGATGCCTTTATCTGACGTGTGACAAAAACACCTCTCAGTTTTTGATTGGAGAGTCAACAGAGTGATTTAAACACATTCTTCTAACCCTAAGCCTAATTCTTCCTTAACCCAACCCTAACGTGAAAATATCCTTAAACTAACCTTAACCTAACTTCACCCAACTCTAATATCGCCCTCATTAGGTTAACCTAACCCTAACCTGTCCTTAGCTTAAACGTCAACTTAATCTTTCTCAAACCGAACCTGAAACTTGCCAGATATCCTATTTAATAACATAACACTTCATTAGGCCTAATTTATTCATGGCTACAATATTATTTACCAGGTTTCACTAACTTACTCACTGAGCATTTAAAGGTCATTGGTGCGGTCGCACTCCATTGATATTTACTGGTGCTTAAAGCTTAACTTGACCAACAATTGTACTGAGCACCATCCCATGACCAATTCGTAGGAATCAGTCACTCCTATAGGGTTTACTTTTCACCTAAATACCGTGGTAATACAGTGACTGAATTCTGCATTGATTGACGTACATCTGACTGTTGTTAAAGAAAACGTGAATTTCCTCAAGGTGACATGTATGCCTTGCTGATGTTTTCAGCAAATCAGTTGAATCCTCATAGACGAAATATTTCAGTGTTATTGGATTTGTTAAAAACAAAAATAGTGACTCTTATCACAAAAAGATAGGCTTAATAAGTAACATAACCATTCGACTCCCATGTCTCCATATCTTCTGAGTAATAAACTTATAGACTGAGAACTAAAGTTGATGTACAGTTATGGAAGAAGTGATTTTCACAGTCGAAATTAACAACATGTTTATGGAAATCATATTCTAGGAAGAATTTTAACTGAAAGGTAGACCAAAATATCCAGATACACTAGTCGAATAAATACAGGATGTGTCTATGCAGGTGCAAGTCTTCTGAAATGCAAATGATGATGTACAAGACTTCACAATAAACGTTACTTCATACTTTCATAGGTCCAACTAGGAAGACTTAAAAGTTTTGTAAGGTATTACATATAAAATGATAGAGAATTCTAGCTGGTGTTGCATACAGGCAAAGACGAAGTCAGTAGGCATGAATCTATTATGAAAATGTTAATTAAGGGATCTCTGAACCTCAGGATGTGTTGTTAAAAGCAAAAGACGTCTACTAATCAAAGAACACACATCTACAACTAAACATTTCGTTACTGACTCATAAGTTACAACTAGCGAGAAATTTCTCATTAAACCAAGTTGAAAAATCAAACTGGTCATGATAATAAAAACCAGAGATCAAACGATCAAGAATTTATTGAATGCCATAAGAAAGAAAATTCAGTTCACAATGAAAATATAAGCCAAATAAAAATCTTACAAAATGCTTCTATAATCAAAACAAATAAGACTTTATCCAATTTCATAGCGAATAATAACAGTTGAACTAGTGATGACGTCACTGTTTTAAGATCATGAAAAGGAAAAATTAACGCAAATAGAATTGTCAACTCTCCTCTGACAAAGAAATCTGTACCTCAATATTTACCAAACTGCAATAGCGTATTAATCTAGTCCGCTAGCATTTATCTCTCAACGTTCATGGAGAAAATAAAACAGAATCAAGGTACTCTGAGAAAGATTCTTTCCATTGAGACATTAATACACAACACTCAAGATGGGCATCACTGAGTGCATTTCTGTACAGTAGGAATTTGAATCTATGATGAAAGTGCCACTGAAACACTATCCTGTTGTACCGGTAAGTGCCGACAAGATCTCAGTAGCAATCTTGCTACAGATGGCTTCCAACACAACTTTACAGTAGTGAGAAGTG